TTTCAGATTTACAAATACATCATCTATCATATATAACCAAATTTCGAAGAGAAAATCCTTATAATTTTGCTTCTTTCTATCAATTAAGGATTCAAGGTCATCTATAATTTACATAAACAATTTCAAATTTCATTGTCCAAGTATTTTGGGTTCTTAATAACGAAGTCAATACAACAAGGGAAAACTTTTGTATACACCCGGTTTTCAGTAATTTACTGTACATCAGGTACACTTTTGTCAGATTTAGTGTCACTTTTGTCAAATTTAGTGTCACTTTTGTCAAATTTATCAATAAAGCATAAATAACTCTTATATATGTCACGGTAACTTTTGTGCGTTTTAGTGTAACTTTTGCACATTTTATTGTCACTTTATAACGGATGTTCAGTAATTTACTGAACATCCGTTTTATTTAAAAGTTTGTGTACAACAAGTTAACAAACTTTTCATATTTTCACTGCTTTTAGTTTCTTATATAATGTTACGAGTATTAATTTCTATTAAGCATTAGTTGTATCTCTCTTTCTTAAGATGTTTTTAATGGGTAATTGTAATTTGCTTAGAAAATGTTAGAAAGATGCTAATTTGTTTTTAAAAGTTTATACAAGAATCATAATTTATTTTTACAGTAAAAATTAGACGGCCTTATATTCTTTATTAACAAAAGTCAAAAAAATATCAAAACCAGTCTTCGTCAAAAAATAAAATCTGTTCTTTCAAAATAATTTTTTTTTTAAAAATCTAAGAATATCCTATTATTCCTATCATATTTCATTCGAATGAAAATGAATTTTCGAAATTGGCACAATAGAAAAAGAAAAGGAAGAAAACGACGTCGCAAGTAAGTGTTCTATGTCCTATTATTATATGACACGTGGGTATAGACTCAGGCATAAGACACGTGTACAGGAAAACGGTGAAGTGGGACCCATGGAAGTGGACCGTCCCTTAAACGGTACGAATGGAAAGATCCAAAATGAACTGTGATTGAGTTCGGTTGACTAATGTCATCCACTACCACGCTCATTATTGATTTTTTGCCCACTAGATATTTTATCCATTTGTACATTTTACATTTTTACATTCCTCCAAATTAAAAATAAATTAAATTAAATTAAAAATGACGTGGTACATTTTATCCATTTATGCATTTTAAATCCCTCTGTATTTGTTGAACTAAAATTGTTTTATTAAACTAAAATTATTTGTATTGAATTGATTTTTTCCTTTTTTGTGTATTGATTTTCTATTATATATCTTCTTTAAAAATACTGATTTATACTGAATTGAACTCATTTTTACTGAAATGAAATTATTTTTATATGAGTAGAACTAAAATTACTTTAGGTGAAGTGAATAGGCCTAAATAGTAGTAACACTCCTCCATTCTAAAAACATTGCAATCGTTTGACTAACATATGTGTCAAAACACAAGTTTATCAAAAAAAGAAAAATGGATATATACAATATACTTTAATCTTTAAGAGATAGTTTCCCTCAAAAAAAAAATCTTTAAGAGATAGTGTGAGTAAGTGTTAATACCTTTGTGAAGCACAAGGAGTAATAAAATAGGGTTGCATAAGATTAAAATAAACTTAGTTATGAGGAGTAGAGTATGACTGTACGCGTAGTAGAAATGCAAGAAACAAAATTGTTAGCTTTAAACTAAGTAATTTTAAAATAAAATATGGAGTTTAACAATAAAAAAAAAAAAAAACTCCTAATAAAAATATACTTCCTCCCTTTTTTTATTATTGCACCATAGGGGTTGAGGACAAATATTTTGGTAGTGGAAAAAAGTAAGAGAGAGAAAAGTAAAAATACAAAATTGCCCATGTGACATATTGATAAATTAAAAAGTAAGTGTGAAAAAACAAGGATATGTTGGGTATTTATAGTGCGAACACAAATAATTTTTTCCCTATAGAGAAAATGGTGCAATATTTGTGAAACTTTTCAAAAAAGCAAGTAGTGCAATAATAAAAGAACGGATGAAGTATAATAATATAAAACATCACAATCATCTAACTATCCTCACCTCATTTAAAAAATCTTTGTAACAATTATTTATAAATTCAACTTTTCAAGATCACTATCTTCGACCGTCATCTTTAAATTATGTTATGTTGTCTCAACGAACTTGTTTTTTAATTTAACCGTCCTATTCAACTTCATCACTTTGTATTTGAGTTCAAAAGAATATCTTAGTAATTTTTTCCTATAAGCAAGGTTTTTTAGGTACAAATCTGATTGCACCAAATTGCATTTGTAGCTTAATAGGTGTGATATATATACCGTATTATTTCACTACAAGAAAAATATCTTTTCGTAGAGATTATTTTGTAGCGATTGTACATTCACTACAATATGCAAGTCTGTTTGTGAAATAATTAAGGAGGTCGTATCATTTTACAATCGCCATGGTTTTCCCATATAAAATCGATACGGAAAGCATAATAATACATATCCACACTATTTTTACACATTTATATAATTTTGAGAACTCGTATCATTTACAATCGCCACTAAATCCTAAAAATTGATACGAAAAGCCTTTTCAACACTAAATATATAATTATTGTTTGAAAAAAAAATACATAAAATATGACATAGCTTATTGGTGAAACATTTAATATAAGAGTTTAAGGTTGCATGTTCAAATCTTGTAAAGATCATATGCATGTTTTTTTTTTTTTTTTTTTTTTTTGAAAAAAATGAGTTAAACATTTATAGCGATTGTAATCGCTACAATAATCACCACGATTGGATGTAGTTTTTCGTATCGATTATTGAGGCCAACCCCAGCGATATTGAAAACCACTATTAAAGGCTAAGGCAACGGAGCATATTGTATCGAATGACCATTCGTTGGGAAAGCTTTTTGTTGCAATTACAATCGATACTAAAGATTAAAATAATCGTTACGAAAAGGTTATTTTCTTGTAGTGTTTTTTCAAAATTTCCATGAGAACATTTGATTTTTAATATTTTCAATTCAACTACAAGTTAGTAAAAATATGAAATTGATGTTATGAAATCAACATAAGTTTTTCCTACGACTTTTAGATGGAAAATAGAGAAAATATTAAGGGATTGATGGAATACTCAATAACAAAGAGTAACGCTACGTGATGGTTGAAACATTTTTCATTGGTGAAATTTGTCAAAAGATAATCAAACCATGGCCTCCTTTTTATTTATAAAAATCTCTGTTTCATAGAATTCTTCTATACTCTATAGCTTCATAATTAAACTTTTGACATTTTAATTCTTTCATACAAAATATTCATCCCAACCAACATTGAAAATGATAGAGATCAGATTTTACATTTATATATAACTAATAGACTTCTAGCATTAACTTTTAAGGCAACTATTACACTATTCGATTTTTAAATTCAGGTTTTCAATTTATAGATTTTTGTTTTCCGATTAAAAATTTTCATATAAATGATGGTAATTCAATTTTTTGAATAAAATTTGTAATTTTAAACTATAAATGTTTCGATTATAAGTTAGGAGTGAGGGAATTAGCAGGAATGAAAAGCGATAGAAAAGGAAGGGGGAGAGTGGAGTTTAGTTTCCTTCCAATTTTCTTAAATTTGAAGGATTGATGTTTAGAGATCCCTCCCCCACTCCCCTCTTTCCCTAACCTCTTATCCAAAATATGAGGACTTATATGTTAGGAATTGGGGAGAGAAGCTCAAGTGAGGTTCCATCTCAAAACCACATGACAACAGGAGTATCCCACTTAGGTATAAACTAATTATTCTTTGTTTTAATTTTTCCATGTGGGACAACAAACTCACACTTGCAACCTAATACAATATACTTCCTCCGTTCCAATAATAATGTAACAAGTGGACTTTTGCACTATTCATCACTCTTATTTGCCCATATAATATGATTAATAGACATTAAGCAAAATGTAGTCATGTGAGATATTCATATATTTGTCTCATAAAATACTTTTACAATACCAACTTTTTTTATTTTACTTTTAAAATATTAATTATTATATATATTTAACACATAAAATGTGATTTAAGATGCGTAATTTCATCCTTGTTGGAATATTATCGGAACAGAGAAACTACGTGTTAAGTGTTGGTTGACCAAATATATAATTAGCTTAGAAAATCATCGACTTGTATAGTTATAAAGTACGTATACGTTTTCTAAAAAATAAATTTATAAATTCAATAAGGTTAAAGGGTAAGAATTGAGCGAGTATAATTCCAAATGCACCACCTACTTATTAGTCATGATGAATATGACTTTAATTTGATATCCATACTTGTTAACTATCAGTCAAAATTTTACGGAATATTCATATTTTACTCGAGAATAGAGAAAACATAAGAGAAATTTTACCCCTCATATACTCGAAAAGATTCAAACCCCAAACCATTTAAACTCTATACCTACTTAATTAGGATTAAGGGCCTGTTCTCTTCCGTTGAAATTCAGTTCAGTTCAGTTCAGTTTAGCCCAGCTCAGTTCAGTTCAGTTCAGTTCAGCTCTTAATTTACGTCTAATGATATTGCTAATGATATAAAGCCAAATTTCATTCTTTTAAGCTCTTATTACAACGACAACAACAACATTAACAATAATAACAATAACAATAATAATAATAATAACAATAATAATAATAATAATAATAATAATCAATAAGTAATAAATAATAATAATAATAATAATCATCATCAATAAACAATAATAATAATAACACTAATAATTGAAATAATAATACTAATAATAATAATCAATAAATAATAATAATACTAATAATAACAGTAATAATTGAAATAATAATACTAATAATAATAATCAATAAATAATAATAATAATCATCAATAAATAATAATAATAATAATAATAATAATAATAATCAATAAATAATAATATTATTATTATTATTATTATTATTATTATGTACATTTGTATATATACATATGTATAGTAATAAATAATCAAAGATCACTAATCTGTAGTTAAAAATCACTAATTAATAAGTTCAGTTCAGCTGAGTTCAGTCAATCGAAACAGGCCCTAAAAGTCTGTTCTCATTTACTAAACTGAATCATTTATGAGAGAAGAAAAATTAAAAAGTAAACTGAATTAAAATTAAATTGAAGAGAACAGACTCTAAGACGGGTGCCGTGCAACCTAAAATCATACACCCCTGCGGCCGTGCCACCCTAGTACTCGACTACTCGTACTCCTTATAACAAAGACAGCAACAACCTTTTTCAACTCCACTCAAAACCGAAGATCATCCCAAAAGTTAAAAAACCTTTTGGTATAAAAATCAAAAAGAGAAGCTTCTTATTCCTTCAAAATTCAATCAAAACAAAAAAAAATGAGCACAACAATTAATAATCTACAACTCCTCCATCTTCGCCACCTTCAATTTCAACGCCATCGTTGCTCATCCTTCTCTCTCTCACTCCCTCGTTCTCTCTCTCTCCTCTCCTCAAAATGCAGTGTTTCTCTTTCAGGTCAAACCCCATTAATTTTTTCAACTTTGATTTTTATATTTTCAACAAAAATGTACTTTAATAATGTATGTTGTATTTGGTTTTGCAGGTCCAAATTCTCTTGCCCTGAACCCCAAGATTATGAAATGTAATTGCATTCTTTCTCTTACTTATATATATAATTTCAATTTTGAGTTATAGTAGAGTAATTAATTGGTTTTTTTTTTTTTTTTTTTTTTTTTTTGGTAGATGGGTGTTCTTGTAACGTGGTGGTTAAATGTGTACCAAAAGATTTTGAATCAGAATCCAATGTTGTTCCTCAGGTTTGTTTTTTCTTTTGATTATTTTAATTATAATTGTTTGCTTAATTAATTAGCTTATTAATCATTAGTTGAATTTATGAGATTCTATTCTTAATTGTATGTAATATTTGTTAAGTATTTTGTCTGGTTTAGGCTGGAAACCAATAATTTCTATGGATATGTATAAATATTGGGATTAATTGTAGGAGGAATAATGTTTTCTGGATTTGTGTTGCTTTTGACTTTGGCTGTGTAATGTACACATATTGCATATTCTTTGGTTTCTGGGTTGTGAACGAATGCGCTGTTGGCATGAGCTTTTTATAATTTTTTAATAGAATTTTAAAGTACAGTATAATTTTTTTTTAAAGAAAAGTGTGCTTTTTAATTCAATAGTGTTTCCAAGAAATTAAGCTGTTCTTTTAAATCAGTCATCCAGTTTGATGGCTTGAGCCTTTTAGTTTCTTGTTTCATACTTATAATTCTAGGGGAGTAGTAGTATTATTTTCAATGTCTATACTATAGAATAGTTTGTTGTGGGGCTAATGATTCGGGTTAAGGGAAAGAATTGGACTTTTTTGTTAAATGGTTGAAGCTGAAAAGAACCTGCAAGTATGTAAACTTTGATTAAGATATACTCCGTATTGATTAATGTCCAATGATGTAAAGGAGACACATTGATCAAATAAAGCGTATAATCTGATTGATCATTTTTTTGGGAAACATTGCAAGAATTAAGAATCGGTTATGGAGTACAACATTGTAGATAATACTATAAGCGCAGGTTTTTTTTTTTTCCTTTCAAGGGACCAATTCTGACCTCATAATGCCATTCTGTATATTAATGATTTATCCTGTCATAGAATTGCCAGATGATCATATTGATATCCACATAATGAATGACTGAACTAGCATGTGTATAATTTATATAGTGGGTGTGGTGTGACCAAATCACACTGCTTCTAGAGATTTGGATTTATCAATGTGAATTCTGATGCGTTTAGAAGGGTGATTAGGTAGCTGATTTGTTGCTATTTCTCTTTTGTTCTAGGAGGTTGAGAAGATAGAAGACATTTCCAATATCTTGAGCAAAGCGAATTCTTTTTTGCCTCATGTTGTGCTTGCAAGTACGCTGCTTGCTCTTGCTTATCCTCCTTCTTTTACTTGGTTTACCAACAGGTGGTTGTTTGTCCTGTTTCAAATTTTTAATTGGAGAAGAAAAGTTTGTGCTGTGTTTAATAGCCATGTGTCTAAATTTGTTTGTTTGTCTAATTTGGTAAATTTATGTGTTTCTGTTGCCTTTTGAATGCAAGATTCTACTACATGTTAAATAGCTCCTGTTTTTTGTGGGTCTGATAGACAGCCTTTCCATTTTCTCTCTTGAACACATTCATTGTGATACCACACCCTATTTTTCTAGTTAAGAGTCTAACCTATGGAATGAGATATCACTTGTTATTCATATTCTATCTGTAGTTAAACCAAATGGTTTGCCTGAGTAAATTTTCTTTACAAAAAAATGTGCCCATAAACATGTTAATTCAAGATTTGACATAGTGCAATTCAAATAAGATGCAAAATATGTAAGTTTTGGGACTTTTCAACCTGTTTATTTAATTTGATCACCATGCCTAATTGACTTTAGTAAACCAGTCAAGTTATTCTTAAAGTATAATATGCAAGGTTGACAATTCTGAAGGCTGAAGACTTGAACTACATTCTAGTATCATCCATCCTTTACCCTTGGATCACAATATAGGGTTGGGACTAGGGATTATTTATGCCCATACTGAATTCTAGTATAAATCATCCTTATTCCATCTTGAAGACTTAGAGTTCTGCTCACTACTTTGTTTCTTTTCTTTAAAGGCAAGCTTTTGTATTGAAAGGTTAAGTGTCCTTCTTGGCACGTGTAACACGTGCTATCCTTGTTATTCGCTTTGTAGCCGCTTCTCCTTTTGTGTGTCTAGCTTACTTGCTCCAAACTTGACATAACACATCAAATTGCTTCAATATTGGCTTCATATTTACCGTCAATTGTCCAATGACCACAGGCATTGCAAATATATTCACTTGCTAGTTGCTACCGAAACCTTTCAGAGCAAGGCATCTTGAACCAAACAGTTTGTTGGTTCATAATCCTTGACACTTTATAGGCTAGTCAATCGACCATTATTTAACCATGTTTTATATTTTCAACACTTACCCATCTTTTCAATTTCTAATCCTGCTGTGCCAATTTATTTGGGCAAGTCTTCTAAACCCTTGGCAGTTCAAGTCTTCAAAATTGTTTACGGTTTTCTGCGATTCACCTTTCAATAAATATTCCACTTCCCAAGCATAGAAGTCCTCTGCTGCTGATATAATTGAGATTATAAACCCTAAATTATCTAATATTTGAATATAATTGGTTGCAATAGTGTTAACCTTCCTTCCACTGTTTTTTACTTGGTACTTTACAAGAAAATCTTTGCTTCTGATATTGATATGTGATCTTATGTTGCTGAAGTTAGCTTTGTAGTTTGTGGTTTATTTGTTGGGTGCTCCCATAAATGTGATAGAATGTATCCTCTTTTTTTTCCACATTAAAATAACAATAACCAACAAGCTTATACAATCTCACTGATTTTTTAAATTTTCCATTATATTGGAAATTAAAATTGAGAGACTGGGCCCATGTCTCGGTCCAATGATTAAATGGAACAGCTACTGCTATGGAGTATTTGCATAACTTTAGTTTTGAGCAGGCATGGCAATAAAATGCAAGTAATCATTAAGTTGGAAAAGTGTATCCATAAGGTAGCAGCTTGGGAACATTACATACAGTCCTGGAGTTGTCTTGGCTGTGAGTTCAGTAATTCTCAGTGGTTAGATCTAAAGTTTTTTGCTGTTAATATTCTTTGCCTGAAACTGCTACATACAGATTAGTCAGATGATGAGTTCACTAGATAAAAAATTTCTCTGCCTGGAATGCTAAATACAGTCTAGTCTGATAATGATTTCACTAGATACAAATTTCTCTACCTGGAACACTAAACCAATCTAGATAAATTATTCTGCTTTGGTACACTATAGAGTAAAGAGTCTATACTCTATAGACAATCAGTCAGCTGGTTTATTCTGAAAACTCGATGTGCAAAAATTTTAAATTATGATCTCACCCACCTATTGACCTATTTACTGCTTCATGGTGTTTATTACATTATTATAGGTACTACGCACCTGCACTGGGATTTTTGATGTTTGCAGTGGGTCTAAATTCAAGTGAGAAAGATTTCCTTGAAGCATTTAAAAGACCTGCTGCCATTTTTGCTGGCTATATTGGGCAATTTGTTGTCAAGCCTCTGCTTGGATTTATATTTGGCACTATTGCAGTAACAGTTTTTGGTCTCCCTACTCCCGTTGGTAATAGTCTTCCAGCTTGTTTCTCAGTGTATGCTACTTTGTATCATGTTACAGTAACTAATGTTTCAACTGGTACCTACAGGTGCTGGGATCATGTTGACATCTTGTGTCAGCGGGGCCCAACTCTCAAATTATGCAACTTTCTTAACTGACCCTCAAATGGCCCCTTTAAGCATTGTTATGACATCATTTTCTACAGCCTCTGCAACATTTGTGACACCCCTTCTATCACTGCTTCTCATTGGAAAGAGATTACCTGTCGATGTTAAAGGAATGATGGCTAGTATTATGCAGATTGTAGTAGCACCTATCGTAACTGGCTTGCTTCTGAATAGGTGAACCTGACTTCTTTCTTTGTTATTCTTCCATCCGTTTTCCACACCCTTTGTAATGCTATTGTTGGTGATTAGTTCTTATACATTATTACAGGTTGTTTCCTAAGGTCAGCAAGGCAATACGACCCTTTCTGCCTCCGCTATCAGTTTTTGTAACATCTCTTTGTGTTGGTGCACCCCTCGCTATCAATATAAATGCTGTTATGTCCCCTTTTGGATTGACCATCCTTCTGCTTGTAACTCTGTTTCACCTGTCTGCATTTATTGCTGGTTATGTGATGTCTGGTTTGGTATTTCATAACACACCTGATGCGAAAGCTCTCCAAAGAACACTTTCCTATGAGACAGGTATTGTACTTTTTTCCACTGCTGATTTCTTCTTTATCTTTTTTTTTGATATGTAATACATATTATATGTATTAAAACTTTTAGTCAAACTAACTTAATTTTACCATATAGGCATGCAAAGCAGTCTTCTTGGTCTGGCACTTGCTAATCGGTTTTTTGAGGATCCTGTTGTGGGAGTTCCTCCTGCTATATCTGTAAGTCTAAGTTTTTCCTGGCATTCATGAACTGGGTTATGGTATACTTTCTGAGATATATACGAAGCAGGTGACTGAATAGTCCTGTCACTGAATGACAAACATGCATGATGTATGACAACCTTGCCTTAAGACTTCACACTCACACTCACCCCCCCCCCCTCCTCTTCTTTGAGGATGTATGTTGTTATGCCCTTTGGATTTCATTTATATAATTGCTCTCAATGTGATGTCAAATCTTACCTCAGCATGTTTGTTAGCTCTAGCAATTAAAACTGGGATTTTATATTTTGGGGATTTCTCAATTGTTTAAATAAAAAAAATAGTGATTCAGCTATGATATCCTCCAATATTGTGTGTGAAAGAGAAACATTAATTAAGGTTTCTGTATAACCTTCTATAGCATATTAACAGAGTCAACACAACTGTCTGAATATGAAGCTTAGTTGTACAACAAAGATGGCATGAAAGGACTCCGTAGAGCAGCTTATTTCCATAGATATAGTCTAAAAACTTATGATCCATTCTGAAATATAATTTGCGTCATTGTTCTGTTCACCTGACATACAAGGCTCATAACGAGAAATGCCTCTTTGAGCATCCAATTGTCCACTGAATGCTCCCCAAGATCACAATGAGGAGGAAATTTTATGGATGATATCATTATAAGCAGATATAGTCATGATTACTTATCTATGCTAGAGTTGCAAAAGAAAGCTATTTTAATGGAAAGTCTCCAGCTCTATTCTGCCAGATGTTGTGGATTATGTTTTCATTACTTACCAGTGGTACCAAGCGGCATCTTTAAGGAAAGATTTCTTCCCATATGGGGCTGGCCTGATTAAATACGGTATAGTGGGATTCTAGTGGACTCTAGATTCTACATGGTTTATCCTAACAGAATTCTGGAAAAAGTTTACTAGGATGCAGCTATAACTTTAACTATTAGAATAGAAGAGCAAGAGACAAAAATAGTCTTAGAAACAAGGTGTCCTTTAGAGTAAAGGCTACTATGTTCAGATTGCAGTGGTAGATGTAGGAAGGCATCCAGCTTTTTTGTGCATAGTATTTCATTTCTCAAGTTCTATAGTTGATTAAAAAAACTCATAATTTCTCATTTACTATTATAATGCTTGAGATGCATAAACTTCTATATATTTAAAAACATAAATTGATTTAGTCTCATGTCTCACATGTACTCACAGTCCTTTTGTTTTGCAGACTGTTATAATGTCTTTGATGGGATTCTCTCTTGTTATGTTGTGGGCTAAGAAGAAGTGATAGTTTCGAGAACAAGTGCCATCACAAGTTGTTAAAGAACTGGCGTGTTTGTATCGACATCTGGAATAACTGAATATGTATACAAGTTTATGATGAAGACGAAGCCCATGCTGGACCTATGAGTTCAGGGAGAGCTGATGCAGTAGTGCTTCTGTAATTTTGTATCCAACATTAGGCATTAGTAACCATGGTTTATGATGATCAGATTGTAGTTGCTAAAGTAGGTTTAAATAGCAAAGTGTCTGAAATATTGGTGTTTATACACCTGATAGTGTGTAGGTTTAGGCAGTGGCCTACTGGCCTAGCAGCTAGCCTCCTGTTTGTGCTAACACCTATTAACAATTTTATATACCAATCTTCTCACCATTCTGGCTTTTGCATTTTGTTGTAGACATTACTGATTCTCAAATTAATGTAGCGTATGAAGTATTTTTATTTTTTACATTTGACATAGGCAGCATATGAAGTATAGAGTGAGCTGAGTATATGCATTATAATCCAATATGTTCTGTTGTGCTGTTTTAATGGAAGTTTTTCTAGTTAAAAATCCGTATTATGTTACGGAGTACTAAATTGCATGAGACATCTACGTCAGGTATTACAGAATTAAGTTGTACAAATGTTTCCTGTCTGTCCTTGGGATTGGTAATACAGTCGATGTAGAAAAGTTTCGACACAGAGATTGAAGTTAACTTATTTACATTAAAAAAAAAAAAAAAAAAGCCTGTCTACTGTAGTTAAATAAGAGAATAGAACTGCTTCGTTAAATTTCCGGATGAACAAAATAATGCAACACTGAAAGTTAAAGAGTGCATCATTTCAACAGCTACAATAATTTTTGGTAAATTCAATCGATCTTTTTATCACCATCAGCTATAATTCTGTGAACAAGACATGGTTTAACAGCAATGGTAGCATCTTGTGAAAAGAAGCTAAACTAATATTACAGTTAATAATGCTTGATTGAAAGAAAAATCTCCCAGCGACTGAATCTGTAGCTTCATTTCTGATTTGAACAATTCAGCCCTTCTTTGTGAACATTCATTCTCGGCTCCATGTGGACATCCATTACATTTTTCTAGTTTCCTGCTTCCTTCACTCCAAAGCATTCATTTGTTCTTTATCAGCTGTTCCTTAACTTCCTCAGAAACACCAAAAAATGCAATGTACCCTAAGCAGGGCCATTGACTATCTAACTATCAGCTAGAAGTTTAGGTAGGGCTAGGAGTCCTTTTCTGTGGCCAACTGCCCAGCTCTTTTAAGATCTTGATCCCTTGGCAGAAGAAAAGGTGGGAGAAATCGAGGCACAGAAAAACCCACCACTACACATAGCAATGCGAATGCTGCAACCAGCCAAGCTTTATGGGGAATGCCCAACATCAGCTCATCACAAACTGCCATAATTAGGAGATAGGATGAGTAATGGGTGCAAGTTTATGTATCGGGCACACAGGGCCGTTTCTGAGTTTTTAGGGGCCTAAGGGGAAATTAATAATTAGGGGCCCCTATAAATTTGGGTGTTTGCGTGATATACTAAATATACATTCATTTTCCTAAAAACTATACTTTAAAATAGTATTAACTTAAAGTGCAAATTCTCTCCAAAAAAAAAAAAAAAAAAAACCTTAAAGTGCAAATAAGATAAGTCCAAATTAAAATGTTAATCTATAAAATTCAATAACAAAAAAAAAAAAGTCAAAAGTCCCACTTGATCGTTCTGGAAAAAAAAAAAAAACAAACAGGTTTCTCCTATCCAAAGAATTTTTAAAAGGTTTTTCTAAACAAAAAAAATTCATAAAAGGTTTCTCCTACCCAAAAAAATTTTAAAAGGTTTTTCTGAACAAAAAGGTCACTTTAAAGACTTTTCCGAACAAATTTTCCAAAAATTTATACCCTTTTCGTCTTAGAACCTCAAAGTATATATAGTTTTATTTTACATAGTTCTATAACATTTAATTTGTTTTTTAAGTGCCTCAAATTGTTACAAATATTATGGGACGGAGAGCAGTAAATACGTCAATTGGAAGCGTACTATAAAAATAAACTTAAAAAAAATGCTAATGGGTATAATAGAAAGAAAGTACTCCGTAATAGATTAAAAATAAAGAAATAGAAAAGAAAATTGAATTAAAAACGTATGACAGGTCTCGAACCTAAAACACAAGGCTTATTAAAGCCCACTACAACAACTTGTAGTAACCACTGAGCTCTTTGCTTATTTCTCAAATATTTAAGGAGATTAATTACTATAACTTAAATTTTGATTTAGGGGCCCTGGGCGGGTGCCCCGGCTGCCCCGCCCCAGCGACGCCACTGCGGGCACATAACAAGCAGAAATAAATGAACTAACAACAGGGATTGATTTAAGGATGAAACATAGAAGACAGGTAGCACAAGAAGCATCAAAGTCTGGTGAACAAAATAGCTCAACCCAATAGGCATACAATTAGGCAAGAAAATATAATAGCTGCTTATAAATGAATGCACATAAGCGCTAAGCATCCTAAACATATATATAAGCATAATTTAGTCCATGATAATAAACTGTTCTTTCCGAATCAAAGACAAGAAAGCAGCATACCTATATTGAACAAGATATTCTCCCTTTCCTGAACACCAGGTATTGCAACAAATCCCTCAGGCTCCACTGTTATCAGAACATACAATCCGCCCTGTCCATAACCCACAATCAAAAATAGTAAACCATGAGATCACCATCGATATACAATGAACATACACAAACCTGACGATTGATCTCATCAAGGTCCTCCGCCTTGAAAATCAGTTTCTCAGTGTTGAGCAATTTCCTTAGCCTGTTCAGTCCAACATCAGAAACACCTCTCTTCAACTGTAAAGAAAACATAGCCGGTGTCTGTAGCACAAACAACACCCATCAATAATCTCGAAATCAACGATATCCCACGGATAACTACACAAGTTAATCATGTTATAAATTACATACAGTAGCTGGATATGAGATCTTCACTTCATACCAAGTATCAGGTTTCAACCCTTGAAGCAAATAATAGCGCGATCCCATCTGAAATGGTAAACTTTCCTTAAACAATTCCTTCCCAACAACCAACTCCTTTTGATCAACTCTGTGTCATATCATTGTTTTATATCTCAGACATCAAATTCACCCAAAAAGTGAAAATAAAAGGCACATAATAAAAAACATATCCAAATTAGCTTGCACTAAAATTACAATGGATAGTCCAGATTAATACACCATTACAGTATTCTAGGATGAAAATTACAGTATTGACATTTCAAATAATCCCAATTTAGCAAAAAGTATGACGAATTTATGGGGTTACTTTTTCTTGATTATTAATGGTGATAATCTTCCCAATAATGCAAGAAATTAAACAAAGTTACAAATCTAATTTTTTGGGTGAATAATTCACAGTATGTATAAATTTCATTCTAGCAACAGTAGATTAAGATATATTTACAAGCGAATAAATGATTAAATATGGAGCAAACGAAATAATTGTATTCAAAAAACAAATTAACAATAATTAGGATTAGAAGGAAAATTAATAATGCTAATACTAAACACAATTTACAGTAAAATTATTTGAATGCAGCAAGATGGAATTTTTATAGTTGGAAACTAAAAAAGGATGAAACTTGAGTTGAAGAAAGAAGACTGACCCGTTTCCATAGGTGAAAGTTGAGAAAAAGAAGAGAGAGATACCAAGAATGTTGAGAATCGACATCAATTTAACCTGTGTTTCTTCCTCAAATGCTCTTATAAGAGTCAATTGCGGTTTTTGGTACTAGGAAATCTAGGAATAGTAGAGTATAATTGTGTTTAATTCTTCCTCAAATGCTCTTAAAATTGAAAAACAAACAAGAATGAGGACTTTTTCAAAAAAAAAAAAAAAAAAAAAAAAAAGAAAAAGAATGAAAGATGAAAACAATTAAACAAATGAGCCCAAATATAGAATTTTGTTTTGAGAAAGATCAAAGAACAAAACCTCTGGATTAAGGCTCGTTCTTTTGAATTGAAATTTGCTAAACTAAATTGTAATTTGCTTAATTGAATTAATAAGGTTTAAAGTAGAAAAAAACAAGAGCTAAGTTGAATTTAATGAGTCGTAAGAATAACAATATTGACAGAATTTAATCTCAAGTTTTGGATGATAGCCTAACATTTTAACCAAAATATTTGACAATTGATATCCATTTATATTGTTAATTTGAGATTGAGGCATTGAAATTTAAAATTGTTTAGACTTGACTTGAGCTTTGCATTTATGGATTTGATTTCGACTCTAAATCAAATCATGCTTCATAGTTTATAATAATAATAATTTTATATAAGTAACTAGCTGTTAATTGCATAATAAGATTTTTTTTTAACAAGTACAATCAAGTGGACGTTTTTCCAATTTGAGCTCTAAACGTAAACTATTGACAAAAATGGTTGCGTGGAAAAACTATTTACCAAACTAAGCTTCCAGGGTAAATCGCTGTCTCGGACAGCGTTTTACCCCTGGTTTTTTTTTTAAAAAAAATTCAACTGGTAAACGCTGTCCCAGACAGCGTTTTACCTTCTGTATTTTTTTAAATTCAGTAGGGCATAAAACGCTGTCTCGGACAGCGTTTTATCCTTGGGTTTTTTTTAAAAAAAAAAATTCAATGGGTAAAACGCTGTCCGAGACAGCGTTTTATGCCCTGTTTTTTTTTTAAATGAAACGCTGTCCGGGATTTCAATAACAATTTCAACCTAAACTATTTTTTTTTAGTTTAGGTGGTACATTGTTATTGAAATCCCGGACAGCGTTTCATTTAAAAAAAAAACAGGGCATAAAACGCTGTCTCGGACAGCGTTTTACCCATTGAATTTTTTTAAAAAAAAAACCCAAGGATAAAACGCTGTCCGAGACAGCGTTTTATGCCCTACTGAATTTAAAAAAATACAGAAGGTAAAACGCTGTCTGGGACAGCGTTTACCAGTTGAATTTTTTTTTAAAAAAAAACCAGGGGTAAAACGCTGTCCGAGACAGCGATTTACCCTGGAAGCTTAGTTTGGTAAATAGTTTTGCCACACAACCATTTTTGTCAATAGTTTACGTTTAGAGCTCAAATTGGAAAAACGTTCCAATCAAGTTGCTTGTGAGCCTAGCCAAATTGAACAAATTGTCCAAGTTAGAATCAACCATTGACAACATTTTGATCATGTGTTATTCATTCATTTAATGAATGGTTTTCAATCGAACTTGTTCACGAGTATATTGTCAATACACGCTTCAAATGTATTCATGCCATCCTTGACATTGGTGGTAACCAGGGGCATGCCTTTGTTTGGGCTGGCAAGGGCTTGACCCCCTTAAGTATTTTAGAGTTGTTCATTATAAGTACTTTGATGTCTATTTATTGCATATAAATCATTGTGGCAAAGTGGTCAAGTAATGTTAGTTTTGAACAAAAAGGTTAGGGGATAAAACCTTGCTCCCCTAACTTTTTGGCCCAAGATCCGCCACAAATGGTAACATTAAGGCTGATCAAATGCCATGTCCTAAACAATGTCCAAAACAGGGGTAAAGATTAAGGTCTTTTTTAGCCCAAGATCCACCACTAGTGGTAACATTAAGGTAGATTAAAAGCCATGTCCTATCAAATATTCAAAATAAGGATAAAGATTAAGGGCATTTTTAACCCCAAATGATAGGTGTTTGCTTCCTCCATTGATTTGCTCGACCTCCATTGTTGAAGAATTCAAGCTCCATTATTGAGGACTAACAAGAGAGATAACGACCAATTAACAATTACAAAGCTATCTACTTATTAGCCCGGGTGATACCCCAAATCATCATAAATTATAAGTTTGGTCAAAATTAGTTTAGAAGGGTTAATGTTGAAAAATATTAATAAGTGAATGAAAATATATAAAGGTTATACATATAAAGACTTTTTCAAGCAAAAAAAATATTATTACAGAAAATTAAATTTTGACAAGTAAATAGTTTCTTAAAGAGACTAAACATCAGGACAATTCAATGCGATAATAGAAGGTTGATGACACGTATCGCACACTTAATACCAAATCATATTAAAAGAAGGGTGACACATCACACACGACGTTAGCGTGTTGTTTCTATAAGTTAGATATGTAAATATGCTTTCCTAATGAAGTGTGCAAAAAGACTTCAATATCCTCTTAAACTTGTAATTTCTCAATTCAAACCCAAGTTAGGAAATTAGCGAAGTACACTTTGAAAGTTCAAAAGATACATGTCCTCTCAAGCTTAAGTGGGGGCAAAAAAACTCCCGGCAAGCTTAACGCCAACCATGTTATCCATTCCTTCAATACTCTCTCCTTCAAATTCACCCCTTTCTTCATCTTCTACAATACCCTGTTTTCTCTCTCCTCAAAACCACTCAAATCTCCGTTTAGCCACTGTTTCCTGCTCCAATCAAACCCAGAAAACCACTTTCATTTGCAAAAACCAGAAATGGGTACCCGCTTTGTTAAGCGCTGGTGTTGCTCTTGCTTTGGTGGGTCCCGCCATTGCCGCCGATTCTTCGCCGCCATTGTTGTCATCAATTGAGCTTCATGAACCTTCCAATGCTCTCTCTCTCCCCACCTGGGCTGTCCACGTTTCCAGTGTTGCTGAATGGTGAGCAGGTCTCAAATTTGCCCCCCTTTTATTTGATTTTGTTGATTATCATCTTAATTGGTGTTATACTTGTTGATTCTATTGATTATTTGCTGCAATTGTATTTTGTAATTATATTTTGTATAATGATTTTTGTAGCCCTAGATATGTATTTGATGCTTGTAGTTAGCCCTTACGATTGCATATATTAAAATTGTTTAATTGTTCATCATATCGGGTTCGGATGATTTACATTGAATTATCAATCTTTTTTGAGTTTTTCAGGGTGATAGCAATGGCTTTGGTTTGGCAATATGGTGATAGGCCTGGCAATGAATCTTGGAAGGGTCTCTCTTGGGGAATGGTAAGTTTGTTTAATATTTTATGATATTGGGTATGAATTTATCATTGAAGCTGTCATAATTTTATAAATGTGTGTGTTTAACTATTGCAATGCTAGAATTTGCTGTCGAACTTTGATTATGTTTGTGTGTGATTTTGTTACTGAAGCTTAGCTAAGCTTGCAATTTGTTTTAGATTCTGCAATGCTATGGAATTGGGTATGATTTTGTCGTTGAAGATTAGGTTATTTTTTATTATTAACTGCTGCAACATTATCAGGCCGTTGCCATTGCATTTGACGAGGTTTGGTCTTGCAATCCAGCAATGACAGTGTAGTCTAAATCTCTGATGTGATGATGTATGTATGTTTGTGTGTGTTTATGAATTATGATATCGGCTCTGTTTGTTTTGGAGGAAAGTGTATTCTTGGATATCTTTTTTTCCAACTTTTGGATTAGACCGGATGATAAGAAAAGAAATTTTGGATGGAAATTCTACTTTTCCAACTAGTGGAACCATTGCTCTCCAATTTGGAAGGGATGCTGCATTTTGTGTCTAGAAAGATATTAATAGACTGGCAGCTTCTTGCCGTCTCACTTAACTACTAGATGGAGTTGAGATGGTAGTAGTCGTTTCTCCACACAACCAAAGGAAGGAAAACCTATCTTCAATTGCGTTTTCCTTTGGGAAGTATATTTCATGGAAACTGTTTTCAGTTAAAATAGTTTCTGTCCAAGCAAACGGAGCCATAGTGGTGTAGAATAGTGATGACCGTTGCTTTGAAGGGTATTTAATGATAATATGGAATATTAGGAAAATGTAGCATTGTCATAACCAGACGCTTAATACTACGTAGATGAAATCATCTATGACATTACGCGCTCCTCATTATCATGGTCTGTGATGTTTATGTATAAGACTCACCTGATAGGCTGATGCTATATGAAAATTAAACTTCTGACGAAAATTAATTTAGTCGGAAGAGACTAGGTTATCCATGATAGTGGGTTCTATCGATTTAAATTTCTGCAAGGCTATGGATCAGTTTAGTGATCAGGACATTCCCGAAGGCTTGTATATGAATGTTGGTTTAGTTATACCTCGTGCTTCTCTTATGTTTGAAAGTGAATGAGTATAAACGTGTCTAGATTTTAATCTAAGAAGTCCAAGAGATCAAGAAGTATGAAGATTAGCAACAATATAACTGAATTCTAACAATATTATCAATATAAAGTAAGCAAGAAGTCAAGAACCCAACATTGTGAACATTAACTGATCTTATAGTGTTATCAGATATATCTGTTTCTCTGTTTTTTATTGTTATGTATTGCATATGAAGCCTTTAGTTGGGAAATTTATGTACTGTTCTTTAAATCCTGAAAGAATTTACTAGGTGATAGTGTGCTGTGTGTTGAGGTAGGTCAAAGTCATAAACATGGGCCATATAACTCTCTAGCTAAGTTGGAAATTTTAGAATGATGAATTTCACCAATTCTGTAGTTGTACCCTGTATGTTCTATCTTGATGGAAATGATAGCTGGGTATTTGTAAATTCGAGTAGTATCTCATTCAATGTTACATGGTATGTGTTATGATACCATTCGTGATAGAGGAACAGGAACATGGGATGCTAAAGAGAATTAGGTCTGCCCGGAATTGTAGTGAACTACAAATAATAAGCAAAAATACCATTAATGATGCTGGTAATAGGCTTGTTGAACCAGGTAGCATTGTTCACCGACTTGAGTCGCTTTTTGGAATGCTTGAATTCAGTTGTTGAATGGGGGTTTGTACCATGCTCTGTAGCAATAATTTCTCTTATAATGAGCTAAGAAGTATAGGCTTATATGTGAGCAGTGATGTAGTAATTTGGATGGTTGGCTTCGTCGAGTCCATTCAAACTAGTCAATAATTTTGGAGGAGATAGTAAGAGAATCATGCTTTATTTCTAAGGGCATAGTTGGATTAAGGGTAATGCATTAAGGGGGTGATAAAAAGTCAAACTAAGGAAAATGAAGATGAGAAGAGGTAGTTATTAGAGGGAGGAGATGGTGGTAAAGAGAATAAAATAGTGTTGGTATGAAGAAGAGGGAAAAATGGTAGTCGTCATTATAGGAGTAATATTTACCCTCGTTTCATATCACACTTCCATTTATTCATTCTCCAAGTAATTATTTACCTCTTTTGTTTCTGCTCAAATGCATTATCCTTCCTCCAAGCATGCCTTATGGTGTTTAGCAGTCCTTTCATTCTTTACTCTGGCTGTTTGGGGCTTGTTAGCAGTTGGGTGGTTTCCAATTTTCTATGTTTGTTCGTATTGTTTTGCTGTTACTGAAATAACTTTGAATAATTAATTACCAAAGGACTATAAAATGAAAGAGCTTATGACTAAGCTTTAAGCTACTCACTGAGTTACTGTTACTAATTTCAGAAGACCAGTGGTGAGCTAACCTGTCTGTATTTGTGATGCAATATTCTAAGACTTCATTTAAAATCGAAAAATGGATAAGTTGCTTTAAATAAAAAAAATTATACGTACATTTCAGTTACTCTTGTGACTCTTGTTTAAATTATTAGATTTTCCTTTAGATGCTTTGATATTAATTTACTGGTTGCCAATTACCGCCCTCTTATAAAACCTTGGATATTAATTATTCTTAGGTACCCTTACTTGGCGGAGCAATGTGTGCATGTACATGGCATTTCTTTTACAATGCTGAGTCACTTGAGGTAACTATGCCTTTTCAAACATTGGCAATAAATTGGGAACTGCTCTGACTTCATTCTGAATCACGCTAACTGATGACAGTTTACAATTTTTACTTCTGAATGCTTGAAGGTACTGGTGGCACTTCAAGCTGCTTTGACAGTTTGTGGCAATGCCACTATGTGTGCTGCTGCGTACCGCATATACAAGTCACAGAATCGCCCAGAAATTTTTTAAGATACTTCAACAGAAATAACATTTAAATATGTCCTGCAAGAATTGGATTTGAGGTATTTTTTTCTCATATCGATTAAACTTGCTCTTCCTGTAATATAATTCTCCTCCTTCCATTGTGCTGTATTTATATTTTTATGGAGCTGAAAATGACATTCTTATTCCCTTTATCAATGGTAGTGGTTTTTTTAGAAGTAGGAATGGATGCAATTGAGAATTTGACACATTTGTGTAATTTCATATTGAATTAGTCTAGTAACAGGCTTTTCTTTTCTTAATGTCACGTATGTATTTATATTTATTCTATTTGTGGGTCTTTATAGCAAGCTCTAGTACAAGATACAATTTACAGTATGGCTGAGAACTCAGTCCTCTATTATATATTGCCAATTTATGAAAAAAAAGGTGGTACGTAGTGATGTTAGGAGGACAAGATACATGTATAGAACCACTTGCATATAGTAATAAAAGAAGAGGAATAAGCAAGCCATTAGTAGGGAGTTTGGGTTCTCTATTATATCTAACCTAGGCAAGTATCTTGGTGTTCCATTACTCCATGAGCGAGTAACCGAAATTAGAAATATATTGTTGATAGAGTTCGGGATAGATTGAGTGGATGGAAAATCAACCAGCTTTCCTTGGCGGGCCAAAATGACTGACTGAGTAAGAGTGATTCGGCCCTACCCACTTATACAATGCAAACGGTTAAGCTGACAACATTGACTTGTGAAGAGATTGAAGCTCACAGTAGATCTTTTATCTGGGGGTCTACGAATGCGAGGAAGAAGCCCCATCTTGTTAAGTGGGAGCAGGTTTTCCAACCAAAGGTTAATGGGGGTTTAGGCATAGGTAGGATGAGTCAGAATAATGAAGCTTTTCTTATGAAGCTCAGGTGGGGTATTTACTCTTCCTAATGCGCTATGGGTGAAGGTGTTACGTGGCTGATTGAGATCTTAATTATATTGACATCTGATATTCAGAACTCATTATCAATAGATGCTCTGTTTTATGTCCCATTTGGAATTGGCTAAACCAGAACACCTGCCATCAAAAAGTTTGTATGGTGTATTTTATAATTTTGGCTGTTTGATAGGTCTAGGGAAGAAATTATAGTGGTTACAATGCTGATTTCCTGGTATTTTTAACCTAGGAAACTGCTGGAAGGTTTTAATATGTGATAGTGCTGGTGAAAACAGTATAACCTGTACTAATTGTAAGTTTTTTTTGAGAGGACTAGTCTATCTTTGTGGAGCTGGAGAACGGTGTACACTGGGGCAGATGCTAGCGATTCAAGTCTACTGACCTATAACTAACTTGACTAATGTAAAGCAATATGATGGTAGTCAATTTTTTCCAATGCATTCGTTCGATTTGTGATAGCTAAGATCCTTTTCTTACTATAAGCAACCCCATAAGAAGGCATCACCTCAATGTTGAGGGCAATGTTTGGTATTCAGTAGTTGAACAGAATTTACCCCACTTAAAGTAAGCCTTATAACATTGATTAAGTAACCTCTGTAATACCGACCGAGTAACCCCTATAACACTCACCGAGTAACTCTATAACAATGACGAAGTAACCCCTTTAACACTGACCAAGTAACCCCCATTAAACTAGTGAAGTAACCCTTAAAGTGGCTGGCCACACACCACATATAAGACTTTGTGTTATTTATTTATTTTTTAGTTTTGAATAAAAAGATAAGAGAAGGAAAGGACTTTTAATCCTTACTGACTAAGGGAACTAGCTAGTCAAAAACCACATTATACACTTACAACAATCAAAAGAAAAAGAAAGGAGAAGAAATTTTTAGTACCAGTCAAGAGAAAGACGTATGAGATGGTTTATTTATTTTGACAATTTCACCAGAAAGAAAAACTTTCGGTTTTTTTTGTTCCTTCCTATCACCCCCCCAAAAAAAAGTACGGAATAAAAAGTTTTAGAGAGTACTATATTATATATTAACATGATCATAGAGCTCAAGTTTGCTGACTTTCTCTACATGCATATTGCCTTCATTTTTTGCGTTTTATGAACTAGTGTTATGTTTGGACAAATGGGTTGTTTCTAGTCTATTTCATGCATGTATCAGTTGAATTTAGAATTGAGACATCTACAGATTGTGTGGATTAGTTATTGACAACTTTGAGATGTTCTGTGCAAATCCTATTAAAATGGAGACTTTGACAAGAGGGATAGTTATAAACTGTCAAGGTTGACATGATTTATAACAGTTGTTTTTCCTGATTGAAAATTTTAGTTTACTTGGTACGATTTATGGCAGTGAGATTGGACAGCAAAATGCTAATTAAATCCCCCTGATCTCACTGCTATTAGTATTCCATCCGTCACTTTTTTTTAAATTTTTTTTTTTCCCTAGTGGGGTGAAGTTTTTTGAATATTTGGTTTAGGGGAGTTGATGAGAGAGAAGAGTGGTAGGACTAGATGTAAGGGATGTGAGAGAAAAGTTGTGGTCCCCTACAACCATTTGAAGTACGGAGCGAACTAAATACTCTTAGGAAAGTGGAGCAAACATTAAGGGACGAACTCTGCCATTCTAAATTTCTAATAGCTTGAACTCAAGTTTTCTCTTTAGTGACAGAGATGTGGAAGAGGATTGTTTGTATTGAACCTATACTGCATTTCAGTATGTGCATACTTTATCCAATATGGAGCCTATGTTACTCAAACACGAGTACATATCCATTTGTCAACTATGTCTAATGCCAAAAATTTAAGACACGGAGGCGTTCTAAAATTGGATCTGGGTGACTGGGGCTCAGCATAAATGAATCATTCTTGTTTTTTTGAAGACATTATGCATGGATTTTTAATGTATAGATACATACACACATATAATCAATTTGTTAATTACTTGTCTCAAGTCCTATTTTTAGCACTTATCCTACGTATTCTTTTTTTCCCTTCTCTTGTTCACATTTTCTCTTATAATTATGTGGTTCAAGAAGTGTTTGGGTGAGCAATGAAGTGTCTGTAAGGATCCCACACCCTTGTTTGACTCTTGAGTGTCCGAAATGGGTGTAGAAGATAAGACAAAGAGTCGAAATAACATAGCATGGAGCGCATAAAATTATCTAAAGTGCCATATAATAGTTTGTTGGTATTAATATCTAGCCCGACGTGCTTAAGGACTAGAATTCTACTATGAAGTGGCAATTCGGGCAAATAGGTCGTTTGGATTAAGTTTGAAGCCATGTTATTTTGGATATAGTTCAGATTTGTGTCGAGTAATTTAACTCAAGTGTCTCATTTTACTTGACGGGGCGATTATTAGTTTTGCCAAATCTTAGTTTACTCGATGGGATGATTAAGACCATATCCATGCATGATGTAACCTTAGATTTGTACCTAGACAAGAAGGCTATATGTGTTACATGTATGAGGTTAGATTACAAAGTGGGAAATGGTTTAGAGCATAGTTGCATTAACATAAGCATATAATTTCCAAAAGGAGTCTGTGCTAATGATTATTTTGCCGCGTCTGTAGACTAACTGTTTTTCTCTCAGTCATTTTTTTTTAATATAATTATTAATCTTTGTGTAGTAGTTCAGTGTATCTCCTACGTCATTTGGTTTAAGATTTTTATTTTTATTTTTATTTTTTTTGACTACTATGATTGCTTTGACTGATTAAACTTTGTGTATGTATTAAATACGACTAGTTAGATTTTGTGTTTTATTGTTTTTACATAATTGGGAAAAAGTTGGATAGAAATTTGAAAGCAATTCCCAGTAAAAATTCTGGGAAGAGTTTTTGGTCATGATTGCATTTTGACAAGATGCTCCCTTATACTACTACTATTTCATAAAAAGGTGGGCAAAGAAAGTTGATCACTCACTGGATTGGATTGCGAAGGTTGTACTGTACTACCTATTTGACGGGAGTTTTACGGTTGAATGTTTTTTTTTTATTTTTTTAAGATAATTAGGAATCAATCAGGATTGTGTTTTAATTTTTATAATTATATATATACCCTTTAATCTCAAAAAATAAAAAAATTTCCACACGAGAAAAACATAAAGAATTAGAGGGAGTATTGCTTTAAAATATTCGGAATAAGTTGTGCTTTTCTTAAATACAAATAAATAATACAGAGTAGTTTAATCTCTAAACATATCCTCAATTTCTCACTTCAATAGACCGGTGGGAAGAAGATGGTGAGAAGACTATTTGGGTTGGGAGGATTTCTATTTTTCATCGGATTCTATTACTTTGCTTTTGCAAAATTCTTCTATGTAGTATAAATTCTTAATAGTATGAGGTATGGCATTGGACGCGTTGATAAGTAAGATGGAGACACAACAAAAATGAACACACTTACACACATTATAGTTACCATTGTTATAGATACAAAGTTTATGTTCTATGCCCACATAACATATGTGTACTATTATTAGTTTATTACTAGTATCAGACTATCAGGTGTAGTAATAGAAAGAGCTTTATCCCCATATTATGATGTATAATGTTGTTGATTAATCTTACTCGTAAAGTCGTATATATTCATAAATTATCGGCTTTACAATGCCTCAGCTGAATGTATTCCTTGCAAAGAAATAACTCCACATGTAGTATTTCAGATGTTATGATACAACATACTCTGTCCTACATATTGAAGCCAATGCAGAGTGATTTACCCCTTCAGTATAATGTTACCCTTTTTCACTTTTGATGCTTTACATCTCTGAGACACTCTCTTCTTCATTCACTGATACCTCAAAGTACATTCAGTGTTGGATTGGCTGAATTCTAGGAGATGTTTAATTTGTAACCATTGCTTCCTCATTCTTTCTTCTTTATTTGTTACTCACTACTATGACATAAATAAAGTTACCTCCTTTTTAGGACCTCATTTTTAATTACACTATGCTGTAGGGTTGCCTCTTTTTTTCACTTCCTTTTCCTATTTTGTCTTGCTTCTTTACTACATCATCTCTTTTCTCTTTTTCAGTTACTGGGATTTAAAAAAAAAAAAAAAAAAATTTAAATATATATTTTTATTTAGACTGTTTAACTGATTTTTTTTTTTTTTTTTTTTTTTTTTTTTTTTTTTTTTTTTAAAAAAATAAATATAAAACAGATACTAGATATAGAAGCTTGGAAATGATTCTGGATCGAATCTAATTAATAAATAAATTATTCTGAATTAAGGCGGCTTTGTTTTTATCTATTTTCTGGTATATGTATATAGATATATGTATTATAAGTGCCATTTCTAATTAAATTTTGGTAACATGCTAAAATAATAATTATAA